ATAATAATAAAAATAAGCAAAGGAAGAATGAAAGGACATCTGGTGTTGTACGAAAAAGACTGTCGTTTTCACGCAAGTGTCTGTAACGGTTACTGATCGGGGCTGAAAACAAAATAGAAAGCTGTGAATGCTCACATTTTTAATATACTTTAATTTAAACAAAATATTGATAATTCCTAACCTAATTTCGGGAAATTATATTGAAAGCATAAAACAAATGTCAACTGTTCCGGCTGTTTGATGCTGTCCCTGATGACATAAATGCCGAAATATTTCGGGTAATAATTTTAGATACACAACATACCACTTCGTGTGATAAATGTGTAAAATTGTATTCAAAATCGTGATACAATGGTATGGAATTAAGACAAATCACAGTATACTGACGTAACAAGACAAATGCTGCATTTAACGTCAGACCACCTAAGCAGCCTTCGTCAGTCCTAATATTATGGCGGAACATATGAATGTGGGGCTCTGTCTTTTGGCCTGAAACAATCGATATGCAATACGGGTCAAAGTTCATTACGAGGGGGGGGGCATGGCACGACACATTAATCGTCGCGAGCATAATTCTGGGGTGCTTGCTGCCACATCGGGAGTGCTCAAACTAATCATGTTATAAAACATACTGCATTCACATAGCATATTCACATTTATCACTACACAAAATTCTTCAAATAATCAACGCCCAACTTAATAGAGTAAATCTATGGACGCACGTTAATATGACAAATAGTTAACAAATTATCAGATCTACAAACATGCAAGAAGTTTTGGACAGCCATGGTGGACAATATTTCACGTGCTGCAGTTGACACGTTTGAACAGCTGAAGGGCACGCTACATACCGTGTAAACCAAACAAGAGTGTGAGGAAATCGGAAAATGTCATGTGAAGTCATGATTCGCTCGAAATTTAAGTTTTCCTTCCACCCAATATTTCTTCTGGTCGTGCTTAAAAGACCGGAACGACCCATAAAGATGCTGGGTTGGGGTCACAAAATGTCTGCCTGCAGTTCAACAGGGTAGTAAGAGCAATGGAGAAATAATGAAGCAAACAATCGAAAAGCAACAGAAATGAGTAATTAACTGGAAGAATTAGCTAAATAGTAGTATCAACTAACTGATAAAAAGTATAAGGCAGAAATGTCCAAGAAATTGCAACAAAAGAGAGGGGAGGGTTATTCCAATATTATGTTGAACATTGTCCTTTCTCCGAGTCCTTTCTTTGAGTTACATTTAATGTTCATGACGTCTTTGGAGTTCGCTCTACTCCATTTTTCAGATCGTCATAGCATTAACACATCTTTCTTTAGGCGCGTTCGCACTTAAAGACTTCCAAAAAAGAATCCTATTGGTTTCACTGTGTCTGTCCTTCCACAAATCCCATACAGGAATAAATTAAAATCGATTCCACACAGTGAGAAGCTGGCACAGAAAGAGCCTGCCTCGTGACAAGACCAGCATACAATACACGCAGCTACATCACAAATGTAAGACAAAGAAAAAAGTTATCATCCAAACGAAATTAAGTGTAAAGTGCAGAACATTTCATTACGAGAAACAATGATATATACATTCTACTCAAAACCCTTAACTGGAAGACCTAGAACAAGGGAGAAAGTTCAATGACGTAGCCTACAATGAAAGAGACTGGGGATTTCAATCTTCTCTACCTACAGATTTGTCATCAGTTAGTACCACAAAATAGAAAAGGAAATATGCCGGCCTACGTATATTTAGCGCGATAATAGGTTGATATTATTTTACGTCTTATACATAACTGATGTTACTAAATGTTGCACATTCTCTAAATTTTACAAGATGCATGTTGAACCTGGTACTCTTGAGACAAAGGGGAGGAAACACAGCGATGAAGTGGATTTTCTATCTATTTTCACGAAAACTGAGCAAATAGTTCAAACGTTTGGCATATGAATATTATTAGCCTCATATATGATCCAACCAGCCTTAAAGTTCCTTAAAATGAGTGGTGATCGCCTCCCAACCTTTACAGACGGCACGTAATTCCTACCTTATCTGGGTCCAATGCTATCCATATTTATAGCAAAGGAGATACAGATCGCTTAATGCAGAATCACGCACTCCGACCACAAATGAAACAGTTCTCCTTTCCTTTACAAGCGATGGAAGATATCAGACTCTTAAAATGAAACACACTCAGTTTTATCGGCATATACAATTGTAACTCCGAAAATTCGTGCGGCACGGACATAATTTCTTACTTCGAAAACAGAAATAAAAAGGGGGACCACAGCTATTTTCAAACAGGCCAGATACTCTATGATTTCTGTATTCAAATGCGTGGCCGGGTCAAAAAGTGCGTGAACGTCTAGGCCTGTGTGAGTTTACCCGTCACCCTGGCGAGGGTCACTGCACAACGCCTTCTAATTTCATTTTGCTATTACTCATTTCCAGTGCTAAATTTTTGCAAAGAAAATTACTTCAATAAACTGTATTACTATTCAATACAAAATGCCTAATTCCCGTCCACTCTGATGGGCAATACCACGCTAAGGCATAGCCTAAATTAGTTTGCGACATAAACCGTTCTCCAGTTCCCTTGTGTCGATATTTTAATATTCCCCTTCATCCAATTTTTAGTGTCACCTTTTATTACTAAAATCCGCATAAATGTCGTGCAACCCTTATCCAGCCCACAGAATATAAATCCAAAGTTCACCACACAGCATACTCAATATCCATAGGCTTCATTTTAATGTGGAAATATTTTCCTTGGAACTTTATTTCCAAACACTTTACATTCATGTTGTTCCCTCAGAGTAAGAAACGTTTCCACTACTTCATGATGATTAAATTAAGTAAGAAGTGGTAGGTCATAGACTGGAATTGAGTGACGTGCAATGTTCGTTATTAAAAATTCCTGTCATTGTCTTCCACTCCATAATTACGATTTATTCCAAATATCATGCTACTAATAATGAAAAGTTACTTATAGTCGTTACACATATTTAATTTAAACGTATGCTAGTTTATTAATTAAAACAAGTTCTTTGACATGTATTAGCCTTGGTCGTCTACCGAACGGGAAAGATCTCTACTTAAATTAAAAACGTGGATCAATGGCATACGAAGAAAAATATAATTAGCCATAACGAAGTTACAAACGTTATTAGAATCCTTACAAATCAGTAACCACTTTTTATATCAAAGTGAATGATACTGTACAAATGTTATGTAACGAGGACAAAGATGCATATTTTACTGGAAAAAAACACATTTTCCAAATGTTTCACTGACGTTTTTCATAACTTCATCGGGCATATGTTCATTTATCGCAGACAAAACTGTACTCTTGCAAAGCGTATGAAGAGTATAGACATAAAATTTAATTGAAAAAGGATTTTTAAGGTGGTTGTCTTGTTCGTTGTTGCGCCGTGTAGTAAGTCATGGATGGAGGCAGCAAGTGACTCTGAAACGTCGGTATACATCTACCAGACTATACGACGCAACAACACAGAAGACAGCCATCTTAATACTCAGCGCCGTAAGATCCTGAAATCTCACAAATTATACATTCTTGTATTGCGTTAATTACAGACAATACGTAACACTGAAGATCTTAACTCAATGGCATTCTTTGAAAACTACAAGACGTCCGCCCATTTGAACATCGGTAAATGTTTTCAAAATTGTAAATTGGTTCTGGATAAAAGTCAAAACAATTAACTTATTTTTAATAGATTAAGTAATAAGTAGTGGTGGTGGTAGGAGTAGTAGGAGTAGAAATAGAAGCAATAAAAGTGTAGCTACAGAAGAAAAATTCATTATCATCTTGAGGTACTCCAAAAAGTTTTAAATCTCTCACCCTCATTAATTTTACACAGGAATTTTATGTAGCCGGCGAAGACTGTAAAAGTTACGATAATACCCCCAAAATATGCCACAATCGATTCCTTCAACTTTACCAACTCATTTCCGATTAAGATCCTGTTCTTCTCAATAACTATGTACAAACTGTTATCTACATAGCGACAATCGCCATGAATTTTCCTCAGAATCAAGAGCTTACGATGTTACTCCACGATGCCACATCTACATTTCTTTCCGATCAAATAATCGGCTTACGGTCTACCACTCAATCCCATGAATAACTGTACTCTTCAAAAAAATTCTATTCTTCCACGACAGAACACAATCCCCCACACACACCAATAACCACTGCCAGAAATAAACACTTTGTCTAGACACCCTAACAAAGATCACAATTGTCAAAAGCAAGTTTCGTCAAACACGTTTATAGGACCGGAAGGTACTGACAAAGCGTCAATGGACAGGATCTATGAGGAAAGCATCAAATTTCATTTTCTCCAAAACCTGGGGAGAGATATCAAATAAAAGGCTATGGCAAACCAACCACTCTCAGAAACAGCGCCCATCTTCATATTGGGGCAATAAATTGTTGGAACAGGAAACCGCCACCTGTTCCGGAAATAAGGCTGGATGGAAAGGTGGGGGCCGACGTGGCACGAGCCTGCTCTTTGCACCATGTCATGAGATGCCCCAGAAGCTGCAGTTGTCATGCTCATGGCGCTGCAGACGTTTTATCGTTCGTTCTACATTTGTAGAAAAGACGGAAAGACAAAATCATTACCCCACATTGACGATACCAGAACCAATTTTACGTCAACATACAAGCAGATTTAGGAGCATTTGTACAGCAACTTGAAAGATCAATATGCAGAAACAAAATTTATCTGGTTAACATTAAATACCATATGATAGACGTGTGTCTTTTTATAAGCACGTTATAAACACAATAACAATATTCAAAGCAGCTTTATTTTGAAAATGGCTGTCTTCTGGGCTGTTGCGTCGTGTCGTCTGGTAGAAGTTTACCGACGTTTCAGAGGTCCTTACTGCCTCCACCATCAAGGCGATCACATCTGCACTCTTTTGCTCCCAACTCTTCAATTCTAGTATCTATACGCTACGTTAAAAATAGTATAGTCTTACCTTGTGGCGAAGGTCCGGGGATGGAAGACACATGTCCGTAATGGAAGAGCAACCCCGGCAGTGTAAGGGATGTACCGACAGGGAAGAGGAACTTGGGCAATCCTGCCCGACACCTACTCATCCATTCCTCTGTACCGCTACAACAATAAAACATAACCTACTCAGCAAAGCCTCATCGAAACGGAGAAAGAGGCTACTTGTGAGATCAAGGTGGGATAATATTGAAATGGAATTTAGAGTGGAGATGAAACATTAGGATCCGGAAGACGACATTCGTATTGTGTGTAATTTGTTAGGTTGTAGGATCTGAAGTACAAGTCTGCTGCTATTTTGGAATGTATATATACTAACGTTTTGGAAAACACGCTATCTCCATCTTCAGGGTGGAAGTGAGGAGAGTCATAAAGCTTATGGGTTATGTGGAATTAATTGGAGAACAGAGGAATCATGTGATGATACTTAGAAATGGCTACATGTAAACTTAAGATGCTATTTTACGTTTTGCATAAATTAATAAAATACCAAGTTCAGTATCAACTAGATACTCGAAAGCATAAACTATATTCCAACACAATTAACAACACCCCAACGTGCTCTTTAGTCTCGAAAATAACAACAGATGACAGATCTGTATGTTGCTACGGCATCTGCCGAAATCGTTAATGAACTCATATACTTGAATATTCTACAGGAATATCACAAATTCTGCCAGAAAAATAAACATGCATACATAACAACGGCAAGTTTCTGAAGCCACATAATCCAGAGTTTCCACACAAAGAGTTGCAGGCTGCTTGCTGCCTCTAATTTAGAAAAGGACCCACAGGAAATGGCATCAGCAACAAGATGTGAACACTCCGTTTCTGTCTGAAGCATGCTTAATAGGAAGGACGTCTCCGTCTTGCCTCATTACATAGGCAGGGCACGGCCCGAACATTATATTGCTGTCAGTGTGTCCGACTGCGTGCCTCGAGAAATAAGCCTACTTCAATTAACCGACTTCCTCTCTGCTTGAGTTTTGGCTTCGGCATTTTATCAAAATTCAGAAAATTTCCAAAACAGAAAAAAAAAAGAGTCCCCGATGGTTGTAAGTACACAAGACTTTGCTCACGTAAAGTTCTAGTAAAAACTTCTCGTCTACTTTTCAACAAAAATAACATCTAAATACGTAGATGTACATTTAACTACAATTATACATGAGTATGATATGTAAAATATGG